GATCGAGCTCTCTATACTATAATAATAATAATAATAATAATAATAATAATAATAATAATAATAATAATAATAATAATAATAATAATAATAATAATAATAGTAGTAGTAGTAGTTGTAGTGGTTGTAGTAATATTAATAATTCAATGATATACAACTAAGCCAGCGCATCATAAACTTGTTCAAAAGGTAGAGTAACTTCTATGTCCAAACAGATTTTTGTGAATAGGTTGATTTTGTATCCATGTATAATGTTGAGCATATAAAGACAATGCCAGTTAACCAGAAATTTGGAATTTTTATGTGTTGGATGAATGAAATAATGAGTTCAAGGGGCATGGTTTGGGTAAATAAGGACAGGATTTGCTTTACCGTGGAGCTCTATGGCTTTTGTGTCCTGGAAGCCTTGAAGTAATACATGCTGATGACCAATCTTGTTTGACCCATTTATCATTCTCACTAATCAGTTTCACATTTACATCTATTTTTTTTTTCTCGGATCTCTAGTACTAATACAATACTCGTGTACTATATGGGTACTTAAATATATTAATACTTGTACAATATAAATTAAAATAAATTACATTATTATTGTGAAGTTATGTATGGTGAATGGAACAATAATAAAACAAGTTGTGTCTGTACTTTTACACTAAATTTGCCAAAAAAATACTTTTAATTATATTTTAAAATTATATATGTATAAAACTGATTTATTATTTACAACTTCATATATTTGATTCGTATTTTTGAACTTAACAATTGGTTTTATTGTATTGTGATAATATATTCGCATTTATAGAGTCAAGTCTCACATTTATTAACTTTTTAAGTATTTCAAATTTATATAATTAATAATTTAGAACTTACGTAGAAATATATCATTTTCTAACTTTATAAAATACAAAATTATTTTATTATATTTAATTATGATATTCTTTTGTACTTACTATTTTAAATGACATAATAACATTCAATTTTGTATATAATCTTCTTAAAATGAGAAATAATCTTTTATATAATTTCTAAAAATTTATTTTATGTAATTCTAGCCAAAATTTATGAAAAAAAAAACAATAAAATGATTATTTTATGATGTGTTAATGAATTAGATTTTAAAAAATTTATAAAATAATTTATATTATCATAAAATGTTTGTTAAATTGAGTTGATAATAAAATTGAATTTTATTTATAAATATAGATCAAAATATTTTTTATTCAATATATGCAATATGGATGTCAAATCGAAGATCGTTAAAATATAATTGTTTTGATAGATCATATATAAAAAATGAAGCACAAATAAAAATTATATAAAGTTTCAAAAATAAAATGAATGCATATTTATAAATATTTATATATGAATTAAATCAAACCAAGAAAAAAGATTTATATAAATTTATAAATCAAACCAAGGTAAAAATAGTATATGGTAACTTAAGAAAAAAGAAAAGCTAAAATAGTTTATGGTAATTTCCAAGGCTAATAGTCAAAACCAAACTCGAACATGTATCAATACGAAACACCAATTTATGTCAAATAAGTTTACGAAACACACGAGTCTGACACTTAAATTCAGCGCATTAGGTAATTATATATACAGGGGCGATAATATATAATAGTTTTTTTTTTAATAATAATATTATTATTTAACAGTTAGTATTAAAGTAGATTGAATATCACCAATTGATTTTGGTGAGTGAGCCATCTTGTATATATAAC